AGATGAGGGTTCGCCTGGGGACCAACAATGGTTCTTGAGTGCCGGTCACATCCAGGGTGTAGACTCAGGTCGTGACAAAATTCCTATTTTCTTCGGAGTTCGAAACCTTTCTAATATTTGAAATTTGGTAACGCCTTGAAAATTTGATGTCTCGAGTGCCGGACTCAATTTTGATGGGATGCTCGTTGATGAATCATTTTCAAGCCACTTAAAAAAAAAGAATGCACTAATTGCACAGTTAAAGAATTATCGACCTGGGTTCGTATCGGTGTGTGAAGTCCTCAACGTAGCTGAATTACCACAACGACAAACGTAAGACTTTTTTGCATTGGATGTTTGAGATGCTTGAGACATAATTAAAAGAGATGTTTAAATATGTTAAAATAGAATAAGATGGAGGAGTTCATGAATCTTTCTTTTTATACACTAAAAAAGCAAATGTTACCATTGAAAAAGTAGCAATTTGTACATTGTTACCGTTGTAAAACTGGGATAATTGAGTATTGTCACTGTTGATCAAAATATATAGATAATTAAGACAGTCGATACTTGTTATGTGTTTGACTTATATTGTAACAACGACATCTACACTTCAACACTAATAAGGTATATACGGGTTGATATCATGATTCAAAAATGATCTATACTGCACCTACTAGAATATGACGCTTAAATATAGACCGTAGCTAGTATAATTTAAAAGGGAGAATGATTAACTAATAATAAACTATATTATTAAAATTTATTCAAATAAATAAGTTTAAACAAGTCATTTAAGGGTCCACATACATTGGGGGTGGAGATAAATGATATATGAGAAAGAGTTGTAGTTATACAATCAACATCTTCAATGTAATGTGTGAGAAAGTACAAGTATGTTGAGAGAATGTTGAGTGTTCAACCACAATGATTTATTGATCACCACCCTCAATTTGTATGGAACCTTACATGATGTTTTGGAAGAGTTGGGGTTGAACAATCAACATTGCTTTCTCACACATTACATTGAAGATGTTGATTGTATAACTACAACTCTTTCTCATACATCATTTATCTCCACCCCTAATGTATGTAAACCCTTAAATGACTTGTTTAAACTTATATAATTGAATAAATTTCAATAATATAGTTTATTATTAGTTAATAATTCTCCCTTTTAAATTATACTAGCTACGGTCTATATTTAAGTGTCATATTCTAGTAGGTGCAGTATAGATCATTTTTGGATCAAGATATCAAGCCATATATACCTTATTAGTGTTGAAGTGTAGATGTCGTTGTTACAATATAAATCAAGCACATGAACAAGTATCGATTGTCTTAATTATCTATATATTTTGACCAACAGTGACAATACTCAATTATCCAAATTTTACAATGGTAACAAAGTACAAATTACTACTTTTTCAATGTCAACGTCTGATTTTTTGACAATTCTTTAACGTGTTTTTTGGTGAAGTGTATATCTAAGTCTTACTTGTATTAGTTATATGTTTGATTAGTTATGCATAGGTTATTTATTATGCATTTTTTTATTTTGGGCATTAAAAATAACATGCATGAGAAAAATTCACAGTTTTAGCGGGGGGGAAATATAAAAATAAATGTTTTGGAAAAAATTACATTCTAATGCATACATTAAAATCATTGCATTACTATAAATTTTCATATATTAATTATACACACCCTAATACACAACAAGTGGACTCAATAATAAATATTAATAGACAGTGTACAAAATGTATGTCATCTATATAAGATCATGAGTAAATTTGATAATAATTGACATTACATTGACCAAAATATTGGGGTCCAAAATAAACAACACCTTCACATCCAGTAGCTTAGTTACAAAAACATAATTAGTCAAATTTATCTAAGATTTATTGTTGTTCATACATGTGGTTCTCTTGTGTCTGGATCTCTTACAAATTAAACATTTGTTCCTCCTCTTGCTTTTGAAATTTTCACCGACACCCTTGACACGTTTTCTTTTCTTCCTTCCAAGCTTGGTATCGACAAGGGTGGAAGAATATTCACGCTTAGCAATTCTTCTGGCACACACCATTCTGATTTGATAGGGACAACATTAAGAGATTCAGAGTATGCAAGGAGGTATGTTTCAACTTTATATAAAGGCGAAGAATATTCATAGATGCTCATACCATACTCATCTCCATGCTTCGATCTCAAAACAGTCATTGCGTGAGCGCACAGTATCTTGACCAAGTCATATTCCCTACAAGAACGTGACTTTTTCAGTAGGTTAACAGTGGAAGTAGAACCTGCGCCGAAAACGGTGAATTGATTTCCATCCCCAATTATGTTCTCTACGTACAAGGAGTCGCCCTTGATCATTTTTTTCTTACGATCCTTTCGGCAGCCGGCACCATTTTATTACCCTTTGATTTAAGGACCTATGCATGCCTTTCCCTAAACAATTCTCCAAATCTCTTAGCAATTGAATTAAATATGGATGTCATGGGGTACTCTCTCTCATCTATCAACATAGCGTTGAGTGACTCGGCAATATTTGTCGTCATCACATCATACTTTTTGCCTAGTAAATGTGCTCTGCTCCACTTTTCAAAACCAACATCATGCTCAAGGACAAAGGCTTCCTTAGGGGATTTGTCCTTGAATTCCAAAAAATGATCGTTGAACTCCTCCAAAGATTATTCCTTTGCCGCGTTGTAGTATAGATAAAAGAAATCTCCACATTAGTGATTTACCCAAAGATTTTCACCGAGGTGCCTCATGCAATATCTGTGATAAGCATGATTGTAAACCTTCGAAATATCGTTGGCAATGCTCTTGTGTAGAAATAAAACATAAATATGATTCATCGACTACAATATCCTTCAACTTTTCAAAGAAGAACGTCCAAGATGCATCGTTCTCTTTGTCCACGACACAAAAGGCAATAAACATGATTCTCTGTATCTTGTGCAACAACACTCAACAATACTCCCTCGTATTTACCATGTAAATGAGTGTCGTCGACCCCAATTACCTTTCTCATGTGGGAAAATCCCCTAAGGCAAGCACCAAAAGCTAAGAAGTAATACATAAATCTATGAGTATTCCCGCTTACCACATGATACAATAGCTAGAACCAACATTAAGAGTGTCGAACATATATGAAAAGGCCGGTAAGCAGGAATATTTGTGCTCCGCTGTCCCTCGAACCATTTCCTTGGCAGTCACACCTCCCTTCCAACATTTCCAATAGTTTGGACTACAATGAAAATATTAAAAATAGTCCTTTGAATCTCTTTAACATTTGGACCCTTGCCATCGCGATAAAGATTCACACAAAGCACTTTGGTCGAGAGTTTTCTATGGTTGTTGATGGCATGTTCAACATTGCAACTGTGATCGCCAATATACTTGTAGATACGAAATCTATTCGAACACTCATATTTCTTTGCCCGCAGCACCCACGCACAAATACGAGACATACATTTCACCTTTAAGTATTTACTACAACTCTTCACTGTAGCAAAATGAAAAGATTTTCTCGCCGCTGCTTCAGCTAATAACAATTGTAGCTCACTCTTAGTACTGAATGTTTGATACATGTAAAAATTAGTTCCATCAGATAAAGAATGACTTGGTTGTGATCTTAATTTTGGCTCTCCATGATCTTCTTCAAAATGTTCGAAATCTTCTGCATCTATTGGCTTATCTTCAACATCTAATGAATGATCATGCCCATTCATTGAATCATCACCCAAGTTGTCATTTGATTGATCACAAAAGCTCTCATTTGGTTGATCACCTAAGTTCTCATTTTCAACCGAGTCGTTGTCATTAAAAGAATTCGTTGGTTCAATCGAAGATCTCGCAATGACATTTATCCTCAATATAGGCCTAGAGCCATCAGCAGCAATATCCATCATGTACAAGCTCACATGCCTATCATTCTTTATGAATGTGGGGTGTATTTTTCCCCTCCCATTCATTTGATAGTTTTTCACCAAGTTGTCTGGCTCACAGGCTAGCTCACTGGCCTCAATTACGCTTGCAATCATATCGTCATATGAACCATTGCGACGCAACGCAATGAGAACTATAGTCTTACTAAAAGATTTCCCATACCAGCTTTTGAGAGTCTCCTCCCATACTCCCATATAGTCACTAGCAACAACAACAAATTCAGCTACTGTCATATATAGACTACACTGATAGATACTAGATTACGATATCGATAACTAGCAGTCGATGACTGGTACGAACTCCGTACAAAACGCGAATGAACAAGAATGGTTTCAAATCAAGCTCGAAATGGAGAACTTGTATCTATAGTCCTTCTAAACAACTAAAGTTTATCTAAAAACGAGTTATGAAGTGATTTTGGAAGATTTTTGCTAGCTTCAAGAATGGCGGGAAATATTTTTCTTTGAAGCTATTTGAAAGAAAATTGTATAAAAATGGAAGCAATGACTAGAATGATGATGATTTCACCTGTGAAAGCTAAAATATCGTCGGAATCAGCTAAATCAGCTGCAAAAATGGGAGCATTTTTGTTTTTTTCTTGGAGAGCTTTTCTCCGGTCAAATTTTTTAATAAATGGAAAAATAAAAAACAATTCCACATTTGTGTTGGATGAGTGGGGACCAAAGTGTAGTATCAAAAATTTGAGAGTAGGATGTTGTATGTTTTGGTAGAATATTGAGTGATGTCATATATGATGTCTAAAGTACTAATTTTTTAAGACTTTTATCTAAATGTTCAATTAAGTTTAAAGAGTGACTATTTATAGAAATACTAACTACTTTCACCTACTTTCGTGAGGACAGTGGAACCAATTTCCCTGGCAGGTCAGACAAATTTAATTTAAACATCATAACCACTAGTAGTAGCATTTAGTACTAGGGGTTGGGTTGTTGCAACTCTCTATTTAAAGAAGGAAACTAAACTAAATATTTAACCATATAAGGAACCCACTTCTAATTTCTTGCTCCATATAGATAGTACTATACATATTACACAAGTCAATGTTTAGAAGCAGTTCCAGATGGAATCTTTCAGGGATGACCGCTCTCGTCACCGGAGGCACTCGTGGAATTGGGTAAACCAACTTCATCCGATTTAATATCTTTCATAGTTAGATTTGAACGATGTAATTCGTTTCAGGCACGCTGTTGTGGAGGAACTAGCGGAGCTGGGTGCAACAGTCTACACATGTTCACGTAATGAAGAAGCGCTTAACAAATGCTTGCAAGAGTGGTCTGTGAAAGGCCTTAAAGTGAATGGTTGTGTATGTGATGTATCTTCAACGCCTCAAAGAGTGAAGCTCATCGAAAATGTCTCCTCAGCTTTCCATGGAAAGTTGAACATTCTTGTAAGTTCTGTAACTCCTATCTAGCAGAGGTCAAGTCAAGTCGTGATTTAAAGGTCTAATTCGTTAAAGTTATTGAATTTTAAATTTATTCTTCATAAATATTCAATGAATTTTAAAATATAAATATTGTATTCGAAAAACAAAATTATTGCACTTGATCTAACCTGTAACTTAAGCATTAGCTCCGCTACTTTTGGTAGGTATATATTGGTCAAATGACCTCTGTAACCTTGCCCCTAGGCAGGGGCGGGCGCCCAATATATACCGGTAGGAGTCATTTGGAGTGAAATATATATAAGGTATAATAATTTCCAGGGGCGTATCTAGAGGGGGTGCTGTGGATTCACGTGAACACATGCTTCCTTCTCTAAATCATATATAATAGTGTTATATTTTTAAAAAAATATTTAAATATAAATGTGTGAACTCACGTTTAAAGTATCAAATAATAATACGATGATGATTGGGTGCACCCTTTCTAAGTGAGGATAAAAATTTAAGTCTTATATCTATCTTGTCCTTTTTTGAGTAACACCTCCCCAAGTGGTTATCGGTTACACTTTTGACGTTTTAACTAATTTTTCTTTTGTTTTTTCCTTTAATCTTTCAAATTTCTTAAGTGTGTTACATGGAAAGTTCCTAAAAGTTTTAGCACTGTAAAATCTTTATGTAATTAAATCAAATGTGTATATTAAAATTTAAAACTAGTAATATTATATATTTTGGAACAATAATTTTTAAAATTTAATGGTTCATATTAAGAACCTAAATGCATTTTATCTTTGCCGAAATCCTGGATACGCCTCTGATGATAAAATATAAAATTATTTTATCATACGTTTGGTTGGAGGTATTAGAAATTCATGTGATTATTTATCTCAATCCCACCATTTATACTTTAATAATGGAATAAATGATCGCATATATTAAGAAATAATTTATCCTGAAATAATAATTATATCCCAAATAACTTACTCCTGACCAAACTACCCTCAGTAAGTAATTCCTCTGTCCCACTTTATCATGCGACACAATTTAGAAAATCAGTATATATATATATAACACCAATTTTTTTTAATGATGAGTCGTTTAAAAAAACTAAATAGTTAATTATTACAATTTATAATACTTTTTTTATATCGTTTGAATAGATTCAAAAAATTTAAAAATATATTATTTTTTTAAAATTGTGGTCTAAAATACACCTTAGATATTTGTATAATTATAAATTATCTAATTATTGATAAAAAAAATTAAAGTTAAGTTGCTTTTAATTATTAAAAAAATTACATTATTCTCGAACATTGGAACATAGAATGTACTTTTTATGTAGTTTTAATTTATTTATTTTTAAATTCTTTTTTTTTCAATATAGAAATAGGAAGGAGATTAATTTGAGCTATTAAGATTTCTCAATTCTAAAGATTCCATTTCACAACTCACACCGAAATAATATATTACACGTATATTAAGAAATCATAAATAAAAAGATAATTTTACTAACTCGCTTCCATTAAATTTCTTTTTGAGAATTTTACAAACAAATGTGAACATTTTTTAAAAGATTAATTGCAACGGTAATATAGGAAAATTTTAATTAATATTTTCTTGATTTAGTAAGGTGAACAACCAATATGGAACAATTATTTTTAGTAAGATGATCAACTAATATGAAGCGGAGAGAGTAACATTATACTCTCTCTAATTTATATTAAATAAATTGTTGAGGTTTTTTTCTTAATCCAAAATAAATAAATTGTTCAAAGTTCAAGAGAATAATTAAAACTTTTTTTTCATAGTCCTTCATTTAATGAGATTCTTAACTACTTTACATTTTATAGGAGACTAGCTAATTTGGAAATAATCAAAAAGACGATAATAATAAATAAAAAATTATTTGTATCCTAAAATATTTTTCTCAAGGAGTGTGTAATACACAAACAACTCACTTAATATGGACCAGAGGGTGTAATATTTAAGCGTTGGAACATATATGCTAAATCGCTAATTAAGAAAACCTGCAATGTTGTCATTCCTGAAAGTTATTTGTTGAGCTGTTGAACATGTATGTTTTAGGAAATTAAATCTTAGATGGTTAATTTGCTGAACAAAATATATATATATATATATATATATATATTGTGACAATTATTGATAAAATCTGCATTCAGGCCACCATTGATGAGCTCTGTGAAAGAAAGGGAAGAAAGCTAATAGAGAGCAATTGTGTTGCGTATTCTTTATTATTCACCCGTCTGAGATGTATAATTACAATCATGGATACACTTATATACAGAGTATTTACAAAGTTAGTTACTAACTAACTATCCACTTGTCATCTTCTAATTGGAAACTTAATAACAAACTTCTAACTAACTAATCTATACACAGCTATCAACTAACTATTTGCTGATTTATTTAATCCTTTATTTCTACAATTATAGATAAACAATGCGGGGACAAACATTAGGAAGCCCACCATCAATTACACTGCTGAGGAATATGCACATTTATTTGGTACAAACTTTGAATCTGGATACCATATTTGTCAACTTGCTCATCCTCTTCTGAAAGCATCTGAAGTTGGATCTATTGTCTTCATCTCTTCTGTTGCTGGTTTGGTTCACTTGTCTACTAGTTCTATTTATGCAGCAACAAAAGGTTCGCTTCATTCTTGTAACTATCCCTCCTTAAATTCATTATGGAATACCAAGGAGTTCGTGAGATTTTTTTTTTCTTTTCGTTGATTAATTAACTTCAGGGGCGATGAATCAGCTTACCCGGGATTTGGCTTGTGAGTGGGCAAAAGACAACATTCGTGTTAATGGTGTTGCCCCGTGGTATATAAAGACATCTTCTGTGGAATATGTAATATTCTTGAATCCTGCTTATCAATTTCATACAATCACCAAACGGATATCTGAAAATTGGAGGTCACACTAAAATACGTTTGGTAGAGTGTGTTAAGAAAAATAATGTATGCCGTTTTGCAGGTGATAAAAAATAAAACATTATTGGATGGAATAATAAGTAGAACTCCGCTAATGCGCCCTGGAGAAGCACAAGAAGTGTCATCCCTGGTTGCTTACCTCTGTCTTCCTGGGGCATCATACATCACTGGGCAAGTTATAGCAGTTGATGGAGGATTCACCGTCAATGGGTTCGATTTCACAAGCTATTGATATTTTCTTCCTGAGGCGCGATGTAGCATGAGTTCTATTGATAAACTCATCAATTTTGACACAATATAATGCAAAAAATCATTACAATTTCAATAAATATTTTAAGTTCATAATTCCTAAAGTGCAATAAGTACAGAATAGGAGGTTGATCAAATTCAAATCTTAAATATGTCTTGACTTTTTCTCCTCTATGGATGGTATCTCTTTCATGTGCAGATAGATACTCATGTTCTTAGTGATCTAGTGGATGTCATCATATATAAGACCATTATTAATATCTTCCTTGTGTATAAGCTCAAAAGATAAAGTTGAAGATGATGACGTACGTACTTATTTTTTCAGAAATAAAGACAATAATGGATATAATTGACGTTAATTAGTAGTCAAGTAATAACGATATATTTAAGAAGAGTTTGAATTGATAATATCATTAAGTGTCTTGTGATTTTATCGCGACTCAACAAGAAATGTAGTACTCCCTTAGGATGTGTCTAGTGTTAGGAAAAAGCAGACTAACACAATAATATTTTCAATGAAAATAAAATGGAAAAAATAATGATATCAAGAATTTTACATTAAACACTTTTGAATAAGGAAAAACTCACTGGTCAAGAAGAGCAATTGATATCACTAAAGTAAAAAAATTTACATTGTGTAATCACAAGTACAATATTCAAAGTAACTACTATATACTCAAAAGAAATAACCCACTTTTAATTTTCACCTTGCTAAAACATCACTTCAAACTCTATTTTTCCTTCACAAATTATTATTTTATAATCTATGGTATACCTCGCTTTCCTCTTTAATATGATTTTATTTATTTTTCATGTGTTTTACAGATGAGCAAAAAACTTTCAATTTATAGAAAAAGAAAACTATGCCTAAGTCAATATAGCAATTTCACTATGTGAAAGAGAATTTTTTGACGGGTTGTAAATTTCAATAGAGGTGTATGAAGAGATCTTTGACCTGTTATCAATTCAACAAAGTTGTGTGAATAAATTTTTTGAGACCATATCTCCGAGCCTTGATGTTTTTTACCAAAGGAAGATAATACATCTTCCTTAAACTCATGGACTGGACCTTACAAATCTCCTTGTGGTTATGGTGAATACAGATTCCCCAAACAGAATTTTGCATGATATAATTACTCACAAGCAAGGAGACAAAAACTTGGAAGACTTGGAGGAGGTTAAGGTGACTGAAAATTTATATTCAGACGAGTTGTTTTTAAATGAAGGAGATTTGTCACCAAGAGCTATTAAAGCTACTAAGTCAGCAAGGAAAGTAAACAAACAGGGACATGGAGATACAGCACAACCAGTAAGGGTGCAACCAAAGAGACATGTCATATCCCTTTTTGCAAAATGATAATTGAATGCACTCATTTGAAATATAAGGTCAGTGAGGACTGAGGACACAAAATGCCTTTCAAAGGGTGCAAATCTTACATAATCATCACAAATTTGCTTTTGTTGCATTATTGGAGCCTTTTCAAGCAGCTAGACATACTAACAAGTATAGAAGAAGATTAAGAATGCCCTTGGGGATTCATAATAACAATGAAAAGATAGGTTATATATCAATCATGGCTTTGATGTTTCGGTGATGAGTAATTCGGATCAGCAGCTCACTGTTTTGATAAAAAAACCAATATAATGCTTTAAGCTTTTATGCAACTATAGTATATAGCAATCTGAGGTTGAATCTATGGGAGGAGCTATATTCTATTTCTACTGGGATGGATAGACCTTGGTTTATCGGTGGTGACTTCAATGTGGTTCTTAATGGAGAGGAGAAAATTGTGGAGTACTAGTAGATGTTGTAGATATTGATGACTTCAAGACATGTATTGAATCTTGCGATCTTTCAAAAGTACCATTTATAGGTAGTACTTTTACTTGGTGGAATGTTCGAGCAGGAGATGATTGTATCTTTGAAAGACTGAATAGAATACTGGTAAATGCAGAGATGCAGAATATTTTTGCTCAGTTAGAGATTGATCCCTTGCCTAGAACATGCTCAGACCATGCTCCAATGCTATAAAAGAAACCTTTTAGGTTTTTGAATTTTTGGACTAAGCATGAATCCTTTAATGAAGTGGTTAGATTGAAATGGGATTCTCATATTTCATTTAACCCTTTTTCAGACTTTAAAAGAAAGATCAGGAAAATTAAAAAGGCATTAACTATGTGGAGTAGAGGGACTTATGGGGATATTTTTCAACAACTTATCATTAGAGAGGAGATTCTGAGAATTAAAGAAAAATTGTTTGAAGAAGACTCTTTTAGTGAAAATAAAGTTGTCATGCAAAGAGCAAAAGCTGAATATAATAGATATCTGCATTTTGAAGAGCTTTTTTGGTAACAAAAAGCTGGATATGATTGGTTTGTAAATGGGGACAGGAATACCAGATTATTCCACAGTCGGGTGAAAGGAAGAAGACAGAAGGGGAGAGTAAGTAGAATTCAGAATTCACAAGGTGATTGGTTAGAAGAAGAGGCTATTGCGAATGAAGCAATAGAGCACTTCCATAGACATTTTCAGCAGGAAGGTGATGTTACTAATTTTCCTTTATTGTGTCACTTCTCTGAATCAGTTTCTGAGGAAAATGTGAAAAATGCAGATTTTAAGCTAAGTGCAGACAGTGCCAGCGACCTTGATTGGGTTAACTGGTAGATTTTTTCAGGAGTGCTAGGATATAGTTAGTGGTGATATTCTAAGAATGGTGCATGATTTTATTGCTGGCAATACCCTTCCGAAATTCATTACACATACTAATTTGATTCTCATATCAAAGAAGGAACATGTACAAACCTTCTCTGATATGAGACCTATTAGTTTAAGTAATTTTGTTAGCAAGATCCTATCAAGGATTATTCATGATAGGCTGGAAGATATGTTACCAAAATTGATTTCTTCAAATCAGTCTGGCTTTATTAAAGGTAGAAGTATTATTGAAAATGTTTTACTAGCTCAAGAGTTGGTAACTGACATTACTAAAAGAGGGAAGCCTGCTAATGTTGTCATTAAATTAGACATGGCAAAACATATGATAGATCGTCTTGGTTTTTTCTAATGAATGTCTTGAGAAAGATGAGCTTTGACTCAAGATTTGTAGATATGATACAGAGACTTACTGCTAACATTTATTACTCAATCCTTATTAATGGCCAATCATACAATTTCTTTCATTCTACAAGGGGGTGTGAAGCAAGGAGATCCTCTCTCTTCGGCCTTATTTATTTTAGCAGATGAGGTTCTTTCTAGAGCTCTTAATTCTTTATTTGATGATCCTCATTATGTGGGCTATGGTTTGCCCAAATGGAGTACAATGTTAAATCATTTAGCTTATGCAGATGATACTATTAATCATTTAGAGATTAATGTCCTTTGCAGTAGTTCTAGGGCTGGCAACAAAACTTTGAAGCAAGAATTTATCCTTGCATTGCATCACTGGTGGTTCCTCTTTCTGCGGTTGCATTGTAACTATGATATCGTTGGAAGAGTGAGGCATGACAATTCAAGTGTTGGGCTTACACTATTTCATTGGATTTGTTGTCTTCACCTTGAAAGCAATACAATCATTAGAATTGTTCTTCCTGATATCATTGTTGCACTTTAACAACACCACACTCTCTAGACTCTACTTGTGTGATTACACTAGGTTTGTTGTTGTTGTATAGTTGCTACAGTTTTAGCAGTAAATTTTCAAATGATTGATTTCCAGGTGCTCACTTGAATTTGGGGCAGCTATTATGCAGGATAAGAATCTATATCCCAGCACAATCAATCATTAACAAGCATCTATCTTGCAGCTATCAATTATGTGAATTGGGTCCAAACTGTAAGAATCCACAGAAACTATGTATTATTAATTACTATTATGACAATACATAAAGTTCGGAATTTTTTTTCAAAATCAACATCATTTGACTTCAGTTATTGGACTTGAACATCAAGGTTCTGCGTGCACTCATGTTGTTATATAAGGTATCCTTATTTTATTTTTTTATGTTCCTAGTTCTAAATTCTCGTGAGTAGGACCAGCTTAATGGATTTGGGAGAGAAGAAGACTTAACAAACATACTTATGAGTTCTCTTGTGAGTTGTGAGTAAGTTCTTAGGTTCCTTAGCCGAGCATAGCAAGGGATTCTCCAAAGAAAAGATAGCCTTCTAACAATATTTTGAATGACTTTGAAGTGTTTCGTTGTGCACATAATTTCTTATTTCTTATCAACAATAAAATATAGTCTGATTTAGTTGTGCACATAATTTCTTTTTTTTTTTCTAAACAAATTTATTTTGTACGTTTTACAGGATTTGGAGACATCCGTTTACTGGTCAAGATGCAAGTTGGAATACTTTGAAAAAAATGACAAATTGATTATCTTGTTTTTAGGATTGTATGGCAACACATTATATTATTTACTTAGAAATGTTAGTTTTTTTTGTGAAAGAGTTGTGTAATATTCTTGTGACTGTATTTCTTAAAACAGTATTGTTTGTGGTATGTTAATCAATATTGTCACGCCCCGAGCCTACACCTTGGACGTGGCCGGCACTCGAAGACTATTGTTGGTCTTAAGCGAACCCTTGGTCTGGCTTACTAACTCAACGGAAGACTTAACTCATCACATACACATTTATGAAGTAACTAGAATGTTATAAAGGAACATTAAATTGGCCATTAAGGCAAACTCAAGTCTTTAACATATGAAATGAAAAGTAAAGACAATTGAATTAACTAACTGACTGTCTAACTATCTATGAAGCCTCTAAACAACTGAGATGGATGTCGGGACAAGCCCATGACATCCTAATGAACTAATACTAAAACTGAAAGCAATGTAAAGGAGTCCTCTGGAATGCAAAGAGCACCAACAGACTCTGAACTGCTCACTGGATCAATGAATGCGCCGGATGCCGATTCCAGTTACCTGTGTCTACATCATAATACGATGCAGGCGAACTGACATCAGTACATTGAATGTATG